TATATATATATATATATATATATATATATATAGATTAAGGTAGTACGAGCGCTAGACGGGGTGGGGATAGGTATCGATTCTAGCGCGGTAAGGGGAGAGCAGTAACCATATGATTTTTCTCAATATATAGATATAACAATGGCTAATGGCAGCATTTATTTTTCTTTTAATTATTACACTTTAATTAGTCGGGCAACTGTAAATTTTTTTTAAATTAAATTCATCACTAATATATATACTTTCATCCATAAGTTTTTTAAAAATATTCACCGACAGTTTCAAGAGAAAAATACAGAAATGTATCAATGTTTGGAGGTTACCCCATAAGACCAATGTTAAATTGCTCAACTTCAAAGTTAATTATTTATTTAAATAACACTGATCTGCAATGAAATCCTCCTTTAAAAAATTTTGACATAAATATGACGATTCAAATGTTCTGAATCTATCCCCGTTGGCCAATTTTTTCCATCACGTCTAGGTTTTTATCTATGAATTTTTTTTCAAATTTCAAAAATTTGGGTTTTTTTTTTTAATTTTTTTGCGCGTCAATGTTACAAATAGTGTATATACAAACAGTGTATGTACAAAATAAGTTTTAGCGAGTTGTAAGAGAAAGAAGGGAAGTGCCGAAGGTGATTTTTATGGTAGTAGATACGCGCATGCGCAGTATTCGCTGTGACTCCATAACAGTTGAGTGAAAACTTGTCTCTCAATTGTTTACGTTTTGTATCAAATATTTTGGTAAGTTTTACATAAAGTTCATGTTCCCTATATTGGTTTTGAGTATTTTATGTGTAGTTTATGTATTTTTCTATCAGCAGAAACAATAAATATAAAATATATGTTTGAAAATTATTTTAATAAAATTTTATGTAATTTTAGGTTATAAAATGCCTCGAACTTGTAAAAATTCTACTGACTGTTTTTGCTACACTTGTGGGGAATTCGTACTAAAAACCCAGCGAAATGTCATGACAGATCTTGTTAAAACAGCTTATAATCTATATTTTGGATTTTCTATCGACGAGCGAGATAAGAGTTGGTTGCCAAAAGTATGTTGCAATAGCTGCTCAAGAACATTGAGAGGTTGGCTTGAAGGAAGCCACAAATTCATGCCGTTTACAATGCCAATGATTTGGAGTGAGCCTCAGAATCATGAAAATGATTGTTATTTCTGCATAACATCAACACGAGGATTCTCGAAAAAATATAAAAATAAGATTGTATACCCGAACGTCCCAACTGCAAAGAGACCAATTCCTCGGGGTGAAGGCACTTTACCTCCAATTCCACCAATTAATGAGAAAATGGAAAATAAAAATATTTCTGGTCTTTAATCTTAATCGAGTTTTCTTTCTGCCGGTACATCTTCATCTTCATACACTTTGTCTGGATCTTCCAGTCCATCTAAAGAACCTCATTTACTTAAACAAGGTGACTTAAATGATCTTGTTAGAGACTTGGGACTTTCAAAATCTAAGGCGCAATTACTTGGATCAAGATTAAAACAATGGAATCTATTGGATAAAAGTACCAGAGTTTCATATTTTCGTACGAGGCAAGAAGATTTTACGAGTTACTTTTCCAAAGAAGATGATTTGGTATATTGTAATGATGCTGCAGGGCTTCTTCAAGAACTGAGTTTTCCAGAAGATTCTAGTGAATGGAGACTTTTTATTGATGCTTCAAAAATAAGCTTAAAAGCCGTTCTACTCCATAATGGTAATAAATACCCATCTGTGCCCGTTGCGCATGCTACAAACATGAAAGAAAATTATGCAAACCTAGAGGTATTACTCGAAAAAATTGAATATTCTCAATACTTATGGAATATTTGTGCTGATTTAAAAGTCGTCGCTATACTCACTGGATTACAAGGAGGATACACAAAGTTTTGCTGTTTTCTTTGTGAGTGGGACAGTCGCGCAAGAGAAAAACATTACAAAATAAAAACTTGGCCACTAAGAAAAAGTTTAACTCCTAGGCTTAAAAATGTGTCTCAGAAACCTTTAGTGCCAAGTGAGAAAATTTTTCTGCCACCACTTCACATAAAGTTGGGACTCATGAAAAACTTTGTGAAAGCTATGAATAAAGATGGTGCAGGTTTTCAATATGTAAAAACAAAATTTCCTCGAATCAGTGACGCAAAATTGAAGGAAGGAATTTTTGTAGGTCCGCAGATACGTGAGCTAATGAAAGATGAAGCTTTTGATTCGAAGTTGAGCAAAGCAGAAAAAAGAGCTTGGGTGGCTTTTGTGGAAGTTTGTCATAATTTTCTTGGGAATACAAAAAGTGAGAACTACCGACAAATCATTCGGGAGCTTCTTTCTGCTTATAAAGCTTTAGGATGCAATATGTCACTCAAGATTCATTTTTTGGGTTTGCTGATTTTTGGTCCTCAGACAATTCATCCGCGACAATTCATCCCCGACAAATCATCCTCACGACAATTAATCCCCGCGACAATTGATACAATAACAATACATACCCGACAATTCATCCTTCATATTAGAAATTAGACCATCACAAACGTGGATAATCATGTTGCGCCCTTTTAACATGGTTTTTTGTGCGTATTTATTCGAGATTAGACCATCATAAACGCGGATAATCGTGTTGCGCCCTCTTAACATGGTTTTTTGTGTGTATTTATTCGAAATTAGACCATTACAAACGCGGATAATCGTGTTGCGCCCTTTTAACATGGTTTTTTGTGTGTATTTATTCGAAATTAGACCATCATAAACGCGGATAATCGTGTTGCACCCTCTTAACATGGTTTTTTGTGTGTATTTATTCGAAATTAGACCATTACAAACGCGGATAATCGTGTTGCGCCCTTTCAACATGGTTTTTTATGTGTATTTATTCGAAATTAGACCATCATAAACGCGGATAATCGTGTTGCGCTCTTTTAACATGGTTTTTTGAGTGTATTTATTCGAAATTAGACCATCACATATTCCTTTGACCGTGTTATGCTCTTTTATCATGGTTTTTGTATGTAAATCATTACTAATATTACAAATAAAAAACAAATAAACAAAAAGGGTATCAGGCGTTTTGATCCTCCGACAAAATAACCCCGGACAAAATATGGTTTTTCTGAAATAATAATTATAAATTATTATAAATTTATAATTTATAATTTAATAATTATAATAAATTTTTCGAAAATTTCAATAATTATAATTATTATTTCAGAAAAACCATATTTTGTCCGGGGATATTTTGTCCGAGGATATTTTGTCGGGGATATTTTGTCGGGGGATCAAAAATCATGGAACCACAAAAAGCGAATAATTCATCTTGGGCCCAATAATCAATAGTCTGATTTGTCGCTGGGATGAATTGTCGGGGATGAATTGTC